ATGTTATATTTTGAGACTGATCATAAAAACAAAATGGATTAAAAGAAGAACTAAACAGATCTTTCTCATATTGCAATGATCGATTCTATTTCTTTCACATTAAGTACTGTACTAGTAAATATGTGAAATGACAAACTCACTTTGAAGGTTGGCTTTCATACACATCAGTATTAAGTTTAGATCAAAAGTTACCTCAAGGTGCATTTACTGTTAACATGACTCGATCAAACTGACAAAGAACTAATGAAGATGGTACAAAGGTGGGCGCCAAGATCCCTCTGGGATCTCTTGTTATTTGTTTCCTTTCAAATTTGGTATGGTAATACTAGAAGGCTTTAATGCAATCTACTCTACTGACAGTTTCCGAGGTTGTGGGGTCGGAGGTCAAAGTTATGAGAGTGGGGGGTATTAGGTATCACTTGGCTTATAGTTCTAGTTTATATGAGAGTGGGGTATTAGTTATCACTTGGCTTACAGTTATAATTTATATTGGAGTGGGGGGTATTAGTTAGATTTTGGCTTACAGTTCTAGTTGTTATAATTGACTTATCTGTTTACAGGGAGACATTGAAAAGAAGACAAAATCATACTTTGAGGATCTCCGGAATTATCTGTTGCACATGAAGTCACCTACTTCATCTCACCTGATTGACACAGACTACACTGTGTCAAATCCTCCTGATGAGCAGGAAATTGGAAACCTTAGACAGAAAATAGTTGACCTTGCATCTAAGCAAGCATACTGGGGAGAAAAGATTCCAGCCAAATGGATAACCCTGGAAAAAGCATTGATGGGAAAGAAGATTGAAGGTGTCAATATTATGTCATATGACAATGTGGTTGATCTAGACAAAAGTACTGGAGTTCCCATTGATGACCAAGAGAAACTAGATCTGTTCTTGCGCTTTCAGCATGCCAAAGGGAATATGATTTACTTCAGTGAAGGTTCTCTGCGTGATCACATAGTTCTCAATCCACAGTGGCTGATAGATGCATTCAAATGTATCATCACAGCTCGGCAATTCTGCATCAAGTACCCCCCTCTGCCACAGCACTGGGAGGCCCTCCAAGCAACTGGAAAGCTGTATCTAGGTATGGTGGATGACATATTTAAAAAAGAAGAATTATGTCAACATAAAGAACATATACTGGGTCTGATGGAACGTCTTCACATCATAAGCCACCTCCTAGTGGACAATGATGATGACAAAAGCAACACATCAGAAAAGTTCTACTTCGTGCCATCATTACTAAAGGACAAAGTTACAGAGTGCGAAATAGAAAACTATGTCAAAGGCACAAACGGAACCCCCTACTTGTGTTACGTCTTTGAGAACAATTTCCTGCCAACTGCTGTGTTCCATCGTCTCATTGCTGCCTGTCTGTCCAAATACACAGTAGCAAAACAGGGATCAAAGTTCCTGATATTCTGTGGATATGGGATCTTTGATCTGAATGGTGGTGGGCTGACACGTCTAGTGGTGGCTTTCTATGACAACATCATTCAAATTGGACTGTTCAGGTTCAGTAAAGAAAGATGTGCACCAGAAACCTCCACATGTGTTTCGGTACGACAGTTTGTAACAAAAACCCTGAAGTGTGTTCGTGACCGATACAACATGAAGTTGCCATTCACACTGAATTTAAAGTGTGAGAAGAGTCCCCTTCTATCTCATGAAGGTTTGCTGTCAGAAGATGCTGTAATAAAAGGAGGTGAAGAGATGGTGTGTCATGGCCATGACAAGGAAAGCCACATCATCAACAGACATAGCCTCCTACATCTTTGGTTCCCTGCTCAGGTATCATCTTCAACAATGTAGTAGAACTCATGTAAATAAAACACAGAATAGTGAGATAAACCTAGTCACACAGTCGTCTGCTATCTCAGGTAAATAACCCTGATATCTCAGATAAATATCCCTGATATCTCAGATAAATAACCCTGATATCTCAGATAAATAAACCTGATATCTCAGATAAATAACCCTGATATCACAGATAAATAGCCCTGCTATCTCAGATAATTAACCCTGATATCTCAGATAAATAACCCTGATATCTCAGATAAACAACCCTGATATTTCAGATAATTAACCCTGATATCTCAGGTAAATAACCTTGCTATTTCAGAAAAACTACCCTGCTATCTAAGATAAATAAACCTGATATCTCAGATAAACTACCCCGCTATCTTAGATAAATAAACCATATATCTGACATAAATAACCCTGATATCTTAGATTAATTAACCCTGCTATCTTAGATAAATAACCCTTATTTTTCAGATAAATAACCCTGATATCTCAGATAAATAACCCTGATATCTCAGATAAATAACCCTGATATTTCAGATAAATAACCCTGATAAATCAGATAAATAACCCTGATATTTCAGATTAATAATCCTGATATTTCAGATAAACTACCCTGCAATCTCGGATAAATATCTAGGTGATGGATACAGGCCCTCTGGGCCTCCTGCTAACTTATAGTGTGGTACAGCATCAGCCAATCAACTTTACTTTGAAATGTTACTTGTCTACAATGCCTGTGCAAATTTTGACCTAATGTAATCTGAAGAATTGTTAGATCGAGGGGACTCAATTGGGTATAACTGGAGGCTGTAGAACA